ACTAAAAGTAAAATCTTGTCATCAATAAGCAAAACTAAAACTTAATGTTCTCATTGAGAATGACTATTAATAAATTTTTTCCAATTAAATACTAAAAGTTTGTACCAAAATCTTATTTAAAACTGATTTCTTATTCAATTAAAAATTGCGGACCATTTTTGTGGAAAAGCTTTTCAATCATTGTTGCCGATAAGAATATTTTGCTTAATCAGTTTAAAATTAAATTAAAGCGGTGTTTCTTACACACAGATGTTGATTTATCTTGTTTCTTTTAAAATAGATCAATAAAATAAAATATAAAAAGCAGCCGTGGCGCAGTAGTTAGAGTTCTGGCTAAGAACCCAGAGGTCCGAGATTCGACGCCAGCTCCAGTCCAGTAAAGCGACATTGGTAAAGAAGGAGCCGTGAACTTCTACTTAAATGCTCTCCCGCGGTGCTCCGTGATAAGACCGTAAGGATTTCTGGGAGCACCTAATTAACTTAAAAAATGATAAGAATAAATTAAATAATAATAAAATTAATTAAAACACTACATCAACTAAAAAACAATGTTACTAATTTAAGTTAATCTTACATTCAATCACCCTGTAAGTTCAAAAAATAATTACTGAAATGAATCATTACCATTAATAGCAATGTTTTTTAGTTTACTTTTTTAGCTTTACTGTTTGTTTGTTTGTTTTTTTATTTTATCTAATTTATTTATGGTATTACTTATTAATTAAGATGATATATTTTGTGTGTGTGTGTTTGTATTACATAATAAAATTTACCACATGTAAAATACATAGACCTATAAATTCAAAGGCTAGATAACAAATATATATATATATATATATATATATATATATATATATATATATATATATATATATACATACATATATATATATATATATATATATATATATATATATATATATATATATATATATATATATATATATATATATATATATATATATATATATATATATATATATATATATATATATATATATATATAAATATATAATAATACACATTGTATCACAAAATTTTATTATATATTGTAATAGCTACGTTGTCGAAAGTATTCAAAAATATTTTAAATTAAGAGAATGAAATTTTTAAATTTTTTTTTGAATACTCAAAAGTAATCGACAAATCAAAATTTGGTGAAACAATCCTATTCCAAAGATGTGGTGCACGATATGAAATACAATATTGATTAAATCTTGTTTTACAAAGCAATACATTTACAAAATTACTATTTCTTAAGGCGTATTTGTTAAAAAGTTTTCAAAAAAAGCAAAGCTTTTAAAACTAAAGGGCATAAATCGTTTTTCTACATATAAATGAAACATAAAACATTAAATATATTTAATTCGTATACATTGAGTATTCTTGTTTCCATAAAAAAGTATTTTAGTATGTGAGAATTGATATGCAAAATTGATAAAAGGCATAGCGTGTCTCTGACGGGGGTAAAGACGTTTTAACTTACTTTTGCCTGTACTACACCAGGCAATATTTGCATAACTTATATAACTGTGAACAAATGAGTAATAAAGTTTTGTTAAATTTTTTTTATTTAAATATAATCTGGCTTCGTATAAGATTCCAATACTTTTAAACACTTTGGCGCAAATGTAATTAATATGTTGTTTCCGTGTGATATTCTCGTCAAGAAAAACACTTAAAAATTTTGCTACTAATTTTTATTTTATTTTAACTTAATCAATAAAAATTTGCGGCTTATTTGTGGGTGAGGAACGTCTTTTTGGAGAAGCGATGAAAATGAATCATTTTTTTTGTTTATGTTTAGGGTTTGTTACATTTGAACCAATTTGATACTTTTTGCAATTCGTCAGTCATAGTCAAAAAGAGTTGGTAAATATTCATGCTGACAGGGGGTTGACTCAAAGGAATTAGTAAATATACTTATTAGAGAGAAAAATATTGGTATCATCTTCAAACATGATAATTAAAAGATTTGAGGCTTTATAAAAGTCATTTACGTAAATCAAAAACAAAAGTGGCTCCAGAATAGAACCTTGCGGAACACCACAGGATGTTTCTAACAATTTTTTTGGACAAATATCATTATAATAGACCGAATTGTTTCGATTTAATAAATAGCTTTGAAACCACTGTAAAACTCTGTTATTTATTCCGTAACGTTAAAGTTTATGGAGCAAAGTATCGTGATCTACAGTATCAAATGCTTTAGATAAATGAATAAAAATGCCTAATTTAAATTTAGAATTTTCCAAAGAATTAGAGATTTTGAGTACAAACTGAATAATTGCATGTTAAGTTATTATTTTTTTTAAACCGAACTGATTTTTGTATATTAGATTATTGTTATTGAAATAATTGAATATTCTATTGTACATAACTTTTTCTAAAATTTTTGAGAAGGTAGAAAGAACGGAAATAGGGTGGTAACTACTAATAATAGTTCTGTCACCTCCTTTAAAAATTGGAATAATTAATCGATCAGGAAAAGCCTCTTGATCAATAGATGCTTTAAAAACTTTAAGTAGAACAAATTTTTAACTGTTCATAACACTTATTTTTCTTTTAATTTCATCAGCTTCTACTGCTTTTTTTTTTTTTTTTTTTTAAATTTGTAGGCTTTTTCAAACTCTTCAAAGGATAAATTAGAAAACATCTCATTAGAATAAATGCAATTATCCGGTGCTAAGAAATTACTAAATAAGGATTTGGTGTTAGGATTCTTTGTAGCAACTTTCGGACTAATTTTGATAAAGAATTTATTAAATTCTTGAGCTATAATACTAGGCTCATATAGCTTTTATTATCAACTTAAATCATCTGGGGTAAGGAGTTTGAGCATGATTTTCGTTTTAAAGTGATTTCATTTATTTCTCATTGGATGAAAACATAGACCCTGACATAAATTACTGTTATGATTAATTTACTGATTCCTCGTACCATTATCCTAGCAAATTAGAAGAGTTTTTTTTATATAAGAAAACTAATGACAATAATTACGATCAGATTACAATCCTCCACATTAATATAAGAAGTCTAATTCATAATTTTGAAAAAGTTTTAAATTTTATTTAAGAAACTAAAAAAATTTTTAATATAATTTGTTTAATTGAAAATTGTATTAATTAAATAAGTTTTGATAACACAAATTTTTATCATTATGAATTTATCACTTTAGAGAGGCAAAGTAATAAACGCCGTGGTGGAGTTCGTATCTATGTAAATGAAAATATCGTGCATTGTCTTAGGAATGATTTATGTGTTTCTGATGGCGATAAAGAAATATTAACTAATTAAATTCTAAACAATTATAGAAGAAATATTTTATGAAGCTGTTGTTATCGACCAACTGACGGGGTAAATGAAAACTTGGGCATTTTTTTTTAACAAAATTTTTTTAAGAATAAAAGAAAATTAAAAGAATTTTCTTATCAGAGATTTTAATAGGAACTATTTTCTCTATAACAACAACTTCTAAATTAAGAACTTCTATAACTCATTTTTTGAAGCAGAAACTGTACCTTTGATCAATCGCCTTACTAGAGTCACCGTAAACACAGCGATTCTATGCCAGATAACATCATCACAGCAGATATCTTTAACAATCGTATTTAAAAAGGAATTCTAAAAACAGATATTTCTGACCATTTTCCAATTTTTTAGCAGTTTGATCATGCTCTAAAATAAAAATTCAGCTCAACAAAGAACTTTTTTGTTGTGCAAATGTAGAACAGTTTAAAGAACAATAATTGTTCTACATTAGCGTGGTCAAAAGTACGTTTTTTAATTTCTTTGTTGTGCTGACAATTATTGCCGTTAATTTTTTTTTTTTTTTTTTTTTTTTAAGTGCCCCAAGAAGTCCTAACGGCACCTTCGTTACCGTGACGCGAAATATGTCCAAAGCTTGTCTTGAACCTGGATCTCCTGCTTATAAAGCAAGCACTCTAACAACTGCGCCACGGCCCTAGGTTATTGTATTGGAAGCAAATAGACTTTACCAGCAATGCAAAGATTATTCAAGAAATTATTTTAAAACATTTTATTCCATTTAGGATGCTAACTTTCCGATTTTTGAAAAGGCTTTAAGCCCAAAAAACATAAATTTACCTTGGATTACCAAGGGTTTTAAAAAATCATCCAAAGTAAAACAAAAAATATTGTTTTAATGTTGATGTTTTTGTAAAGATTGGTCTTATTTCTTAATTTATCCTTTATACAAATGAAAACAATTAAGTAAAAATATATATATATTAAGGTAAGGTGTTCGGCGATAAGACAAAAATAATGTCTTCTTCTTGCTCCGGCCATTAACTTTATTTGTAAATTTATGTAAGTTGTAACATTTCTTTAACTGTAAAATATAATGTTAAAAAAAAAAATTAACATTATTTTTTAAATGCAACACAATCTTAAATATTGCTAAATAAATAAATCTTCTTAATTAAATGCTGGTAAAAGTTTAGCTTTGTGGTTAAAATGTTTGAAAGTTTTGCTTTAAATTTAACTTCTATATTCTAGTTTTAATAAAAGTTTGACTTTGGTTTTCATTAATGACAAGAGTTTTTTTCTCTAATTAATCTTCTGTAGAAATTCTTGCTTGGTTCAAATCTCTAAAAAAGTAAAGTTTATCAGCTTCAATATTTGGCTAGTTTAATTTAAGGACAATTTAAAATTGCATTTTAAGTTTTATTTGTTTTTAATGAGTCCATAAAGAACCATTTTGCTATAAAAGAAAAGGTTTAGATGGGTATATCGCATGAATATATATATATATATATATATATATATATATATATATATATATATATATATATATATATATATATATATATATATATATATATATATATATATATATATATATATATATATATATATATATATATATATATATATATATTTAAGTGAGTCCAAACTGTCGGAAGATAAGGGACGACTTACAAAAACTCCAGCTCGTTGTTTTTATAGTGTTCGCTTATTTTTTTTAAAAAAACATAGGATTAAATAAAATACTTTTTTTCTTCAAATTATATACAAAATTTTAATTTATCCTACAAATGAAAGCAACAAAGGTATGAGTTTTATAAGTCCTGAAATTCCACCCTTAACGACACCGGCAATTAAGTCTTGATTGTTGGCAACAAAATCATTAAGTGCGTCTCCAACTAGCGGTATTTTGCTCAATAACCCAAGTCGAACTAAAAAGTCTAACTTCATCTTAAGCGCTAAAAAAAATAAAAAGATGTAAAAATAATAACTTCTGAATTTACATATTTCAGTGACGTATTAAAAGATTTATTATTGTAAAGCTTAGTTTATAATAGTTGATAAAAAGTAAACACTCATTTATTATTACCGCGAACTAAAAAAAAATATGTAGTTATGTAAATATATCATTAATCGAATCGAAATAAAATTTTCTTGATAGTATTTAATTATTTTAGAATGTAGTTAGAAAATCAGTTTTCTTAGGGATTAATAAAATAATATCACAATTTAAGTATTTTATTTATCATTCTAAAGCCCAGTGGGCTTGCGTCATTTTGGGGACGTCCGTAGGACGTCTTACGGACTCCAGTACGTCCATGTACGTATCGTTTGGAGTACGTCCAGCGGATGTACTCCAAACGATACGTACCCACTGGGAGTAAAGCTCAATGTTACAAGCGAAATGTTACATAAAAAATCTAAATATTGTTTGAGCTGAAATAAATAAGGTACCAAATCTAAAATCTATTTGGCAAAGTAAACTGCACAAAAAAATATATGGCTTATGATTGCAAACGTAAATATATACATATTTTACAACTGGTATTTATTATTTTTTAAGTATAAACTTTGAGCATTAAAAGTAAGAAAAATCAAATCTATCTCATAAAAAAATACTAATTTGAATGTTTACAATAAATATAATCAAAAAAATAGATGGTTTTGAAAAATAATTGTAAAAATAATGTTACCGTTAGTTAAAAAATCGACATCTTGGTATCCACTGTAACCATGTTTAGGTTCATCTTTAATTCTTAAATTTTCATAAGCTGCGCATACCTAAATATTACATTATGTATATATATATATATATATATATATATATATATATATATATATATATATATATTATATATATATATATATATATATATATATATATATATATATATATATATATATATATATATATTGATTTTTCAGGATTCGGTTCTTATTATTTTATTGAAAATAATTTTATTTTACAAAAGTAACTTTATTCTCTAATTTATTGACAGATTTGTTCTATGATGAGTTTACTATCTTTATGGTAATTTCATGATGCTTCATAAAAATTCTGATAGTTTGAAAAGATTCTTTGAGATATGTTTTAACTTCTTCATCTGATGTAAATCTTTTTTTCAGCTGAAGTCAAATCAGAGAGATAGATTAATGACATGTGGACATGTATCGTCCGGGGGACGTCCGTCAGACTTCCATCGGACATAGACATATAGTTTTATTTTTCCGGATGGAGCATAAACTATTTTGTAAGAGTTGAATATCTATAATAAAAAATAAAAAGTTTTTTCAATGAGCATAAAAATTTTATTTATTTTTTTCAAGTAAAATATGTTCATGCGTACGGAGGGGCGCATTATAAACTCATCGCTCATATAATCAAGATCAAGAGTGTAGACAATATCGTGATAACAATTTAAAATAGCGAGATGATTCAATCGCTCTTGAGACATTGTAGAACGCAAATAAGTCTTTTGCCTACGAAGACAAGAAAAAAAGCGCTCACACGTAAATGAGGGGACAGGCAATCAACAACTTTACGTTTCCGTGGCATCTCTGGTTTGCCAAGTAAACTATATTCTGCTGCTACAACGGCTGCATCCTTTAAGACTTTGAAGCAAGTATCACCCCGGGCTTTTTTTAACACCTCCTTAAGCATGTTGATGGTATTTCTTGCTTTGCAAAAATTAAGCTGCATGCCTAAAATGATTTTCAATAAACTTTTAACATTATAATTTGCTTAAAATAATATATTTAAAAAAAAAACACGATGAAATAAAACAATATTTACCTTGGAGTGCTGTAATTTCCAATCTGAAAAATGTGTCAAACTTACAAAAAGATTCCAGATAACCCGTTGCTTCTGACTTATTTTTGGCTGAATTATAAGAATGATTTTCAAAATTCTCTAACCAGTTGATGATGGCGGAATAATTACTCGTAATAGATTTAATGGACGATTTTCTAAGGATCCATCGAGTGGAGCGAAATGGCCGCAGCGATGTTCCGCTTTCTACATCCTCTACATTTCAAAATTTACTGAAACATGCCAGTCATTTTGGAGATCCACGGGCAAATGCGATGAATGATAGCACTAAATTCATAATAATCCTGATTTCTGTTTGTTTTTCAACAGAATCTTGTGCTACCATGTTGAGATTATGAGCGCGGCAGTGCACGTAAATTGCCCGCTCTTCTTTCTCCATAATTAAAGTCTGAAATCCATAGATACTTTGACGAATTATCCGTTGTTTCATCCGTTTTTAAGATTTAGAAAATAATGCAACCGTTTCAATTTAATTTTTTTTTTTTAAAGGTATTCACTAATTTTCTAATTCTACAAGTTGTACAACTTATAACTTAAGTCAATATACTGTTGAACAATTCAAAAATTTCTTCAAAAACGTTTTTTTAATTAAATGGTTTTCAATTCAAAACTTATAAATAATTATTACAAAATAATACTAAAAAATTATTAAAAAAAAAAAAGTTATCAAAGAAAAAAATACTAAGCGAACGTTTAACTCACACAACTCTTTAGTTTAAGTAGTTCCGTTAATTTGTTTTTTTTTACGTTTTTGCCGATCTCAAAGGTCCTTAAGACTCTTGAAACTTTGGAAAGCGTAAACTTTTGATAATCACCATAGGTGTTTGCGGAAATATTACAATCGTTTTTAAATTGTTATGTTTATTAATGATTAAGTGTATTATAGTTTTTATTTTTTAAATATTTTTGAAAGCTTGGTGAATTTTGAGGCTCGAGCCCCCGAGCCACAGCGCGAACTAGCGAACTCCCTTTGGACGACGCGTACCCACTGGGTTGTAGAGCTTTGATTACTTTGAAAATTAATTTAAAAAAACACTTTTTCTGAACGCACGTTTTTATTAAAAGAAGTTCATTTATCAATAACTTATAATAGAAAATAATAAATATTTAACAGGGGGTGTAAAAAAATTAATAATGGTAAGACCGTGCTATAAATTTTATTAGAAATGGATATTCCAACAAATCAACAACTTTATGCAATTTAATATTATAGTGAGATTGTCAGCAAGAGTGCTAAAGAAATTTTTATTGAGTTTACACTGTCACATCAATTTTTTTTTCTTTTTAACAATAAAGTGTTGCTTAAGATAAAATTTTCAGCTGTTCATTAAAGCTACTCAGATTAGTTTTATAACCCAACAAACCAATCTGATTGTAACCCTCTAACTGATATTTTTCGCCACCATCTGCTACGTAAGCTTTGACAAAATATTCCCGATCTCACTTCATGTACTTATTTTAGATTTTTGTTCAGCATATCTAAAAAAACGTGTCTGGTGAATTAATTTTGATTGAGATCACCAGGTTTCAACAATGATTTTTACATTGATTATTAGAGTATACAATCCATTTTTAAATAGCTCATTTAGATTCCGTTTCAAAAGCAAATTGAACATGTTGGTGCGTTGCGTTAAATTAATTTCTTTGAGTTCATGTGGAATCTAAACATCAAGCATTTTTGCAAATCCTGTCTTTGATGATTGTAAACAGTTATTTCTGACTGTGTTTAACTTTTAAACAATTTCAAAAACTGTTTTATGTTGATCATCAACAATCAATGCTTTTCAGTAATCTCAGTTGGTCTACCGTTATGCAATGCATTATGATAGACCAACCTTGTGTGCGTGTGTTTATGTGTGTGTACATAAATATACACTCTATATTTGTTTAAAAAAAAACAGCTAGGTAAAAATAAAATTCGTTTAGTACAATTTTAACCGTAATTTATAAAATATGTTCTCAACTAGCTCTAAACTAATACCTAAAATAAATTACGCCAATTTAATCAAAACTTACCCTATATTTATATATCAGCTTTTTAAAATAAACACAGCATACATTTTCCGCTTTCATATATTTTAATATTCAGAAATTAATTTTTCTTTCTTTATATTTTTTAAAGTCAATAAATGCTAAAAATTATACCTCACTACTGAATAATGATAAACAATCATCATCCTCAACAGGTATTGAACGTGTTAAGTTTACAAGGATTAGCGAAACAATCAGAAATATAATCTTCATCTGAAAGTGCAATAGATATAATCTTTTTTGTATAAATTTTACAGTATAAATTAAAAAAAAAAGGTATACCTCTTTCGGATAGATAAGTACGTGAATATATATATATATATATATATATATATATATATATATATATATATATATATATATATATATATATATATATATATATATATATACATACATATATATATACATTTATATATATTTATATATAATAACAATAATAAAAATAATAATAGGGTTATATAATAATAAAAACTAGGTAATATAATAACAAAAATTGTAAAAAACTTTCTGGAACTAAGGAGGAAAAAAGTATATTTTAAAATAGAAGAACACTTACTTCAATCTGTGACTCGCTTAACATAAATTACTAATTTATATTACTTAATTTACATAAGTTACTAAGTAATCTGATACATCTCGGGGATTATATTAAATTTTTTCCAAACAAATCTGGAAAAGCTAAACAAACACTTTTCGTTTGTTGTCGGGTTTATGAATCGTTTTTGTTTTTTGTCACCAACACAATTTTTAAAGATTTTTATAGCAAAACGTATTTCAGTTTACAGCAGGTGATGAAATAATGCGCAATTGAAAATTGAAAATTAATGGTTTTGGTAGAGGGCAACTTAACAGTTCTATTCTGTCAAAACAAACACCAGATTAAACGAAGTTTCCAATCAAAAAATAATAATAATAATAATAATAATAAAGTTTTTGTACTTAATGAAATATAAAGAAATTTTGAGTATAATTTGTAATCTAATAGAAATTTATATGTTTTTTTATCTAAACTTACTTATTCATGTAAGGATACATAAATATTTTGAAATACTTTTTTACGTTTGAAGTTCTAAAAATTTATTCAGTAAAGTTAAGTAATAAATTTTATAATATGAATTTTATCAACTTTAGTATTTTTCAGACAAGAAACATTTTAATTTTTAAATTTTTAATTCATTGAGGTAATCTTTTAAACGTTTAAAAATTAGTATTTCAAATAAATATGGCTTTAAAATTAACAAGTTTTTATACACAAAGTTTTTATACACAAAGAAAACGTTTTTTTTTTTTTTTTAATTATTCGCGTTCGCATCCAAATATAATAAAACGGGATTTCATATTATATTACTATTGACATTAAAAAAAAACAAAAACTAAAACCATCAAAATCAAGTTCTAGCCACACTTTTTTTTTTGTATAATAAATGCTGCTTAAATATATTACTTTTTGTATTAGAAAAATTTAAAGTTGGTCAGAAGTACTTAAATTTCATATCTATTTACTCTCTAAAGGTGACAAAATAACCCTTTTTAATTTTATAGTAGCCCCTTTAAAAAAACAATTTTTAATCAAAATTTTTTGTTAAGTTACTCCCACTATATTTCTAACCTTAAAGTGATTAAAACCTTAAAATACGCCAAAGCTCTGTTACAGTCATGATAATAATAAGAAAACAATAAACGCATGAAAAATATTAACACTACTACTTTTATGTTGTAGCATTTACATCTTATCTATGTAAAAGCAGCTGCAGCAGATTTCATTGTTTACCATAATCTGTATGCCCAATAACTCGTTTATATCGAGACCTGATTTAAAGGCTTTTGAATAGCGTGTCCTGTTTGTTCAGCATATGTTCCTAGAGAACAATAGTTCAATTTCAAAAATAAGAAAATATAGCAAACAACTTTTTATTTAACTTTCAGCTATGCATTTAAATGTTATTTTTGAATACTGCTGTAGGTCAGAAAATGAAATTTTTCAATAACTGAAGACAACTCTTCAATCACTAAAGGAATCTTGCAACCTCTTGTCTAAATGTACGCAATTTAACCTTCGATATTTTAATGGTACAATGAAAAATAGATATTAGTTTGAGATCATAACGTATCTCTCTCTAAAATTTCTACTTTTTCTAGAAATTTTGTGGTACTGTTTCCAATCCCATGATAACCTCCAAGTAAGATAATGTTCTTTTTTGGACAGTAACAATTCATTTTAGAAATCCTTGACCTCCATCAATCGATTCACGTAACATATTATAGTGAGGATTCAAGCCTCCATCCATTATAATGCTAAGAATAAAATTAGGAGTGTTATGAATAGATACTATATCCCTTATTTCAGTTTCATCATTCTAAAACAAAATCTTGTTCTTTTTTATATTTAGATTCAATTTCTTGTTGCAGTTATGTTACCATGCCAAATAAATTGTTCTCACAATAAACAATATTAGATTCTTATAGAAACTTGATATTAATTTTTTGTTTGATTTTTTTGTTAATTCCATTACAAAAGTTAATTCCATCACTGTTTGAAGTGGAATCTGATTGAAATATTTTCTAGAAGATTTATTACTTCCAACAGTTAAAGTTAATGTTTTCTTTTAACTTAAAAATAAAGTATATTTAAATAAGAGTAAGAAGAAGTGAGAGAGCTCAGAAACTTCAATTAGGGAGGTTACCAATCACTGTTATGTAATTTAAACAATGAAATTTCTTGTCCTCTATTTAACAGACATCGCTTTGCGTTTCGTAAAAATCATGTTTTTAAAAAGTACCGCCAATAAGATTTTTTGTGGGGTAAAGTGGAACAAAGAAAATCAATTGATCTCCAACTTCTCCATCATCACTGCAGTGTAAATGAAATGTGGGATGGGGAGTATTGTGGATGGGGGAGTATTGTGGAAACTTCTAGATTCTAAGATTCTTAAATTTATGTATTTATTGGTTTTTAAATAATGGTTTTTGTTAATTTCTTGTTAGTTACTTGCTGGTCCAACTTTACTCCACACCTGTCCTGGTTAACCCAAATGATGCATTTCTCTAAAACAGACTTGTGGAGCCGACTGTTTTTTTTTTTACGGCTTGGCTCAAAGGTCCCTAGGAAATATCCGGCTCGGCTCAGGCTTCCGAAATTTATGAACAAAAATCGCAAATTTTGGAGTTTTTTTTTATCACATTTGCCAACCCAAAACTATACCAGTTACAACAATTAATTTTTAATCAACTCTCACACAGTTATTGTATTACTACTCTACTCTACTACCGGATATTATATTTGAAAAGAAAAATGTTTTGGGTGAACAAAAAATTTTTTCATATATTATTTACCCAAAACTAGAGTTTTTAGTCCAAATTTAGTGTACCTAAAAAGATGATTTTAAAACGTTCAAAAGGCATCCAAAACTTTCAATAGACGTTTAAATGACCTCTTTTGTATGTCCCATGCCCACTGGGTAAAACATGCAATCATTAGATTCAAAACGATGAAAAATGTAAAGAAAAAGAAAAATAGTTCAACTAATGCAAAAACTTCAATATTTATTTTAATCTAAGGAATTTGAAGATTATAAAAGTGCTTTTTAATTTAATATTTTTTATTATTTCGAATAGCGAACATATACGGTAATTGACTTCTGCACAGTGTCTTTTTTTCTCTATTAATTTTCACTCTTTAATCAAATCTTTAGCTGTAATTATTGTTTTGCCGGTGTTAAACAAATATCCTTTGCCAATTATCCAAAATTTCTCAATGGGACGGAACTGTGTGCAGATTGATAGATTCAAGCTTTTTGGTATGAATTTGATGTCTCTCGAATAGTACCAATTTTCTTAGAGTAATGATAAGAAGCAATATTAGGCCAGAACTAACAGGTGACATTGGACTTCAATAAAATTGAAAAAGTCTAACTTGCAAGTATTCTTTCTTGTAAACATCCAAGTTTAAAGTTGACGATGAGACAAAAGCTCGAGATCTCAAACCGCAGCTGCTTGCCAAAATTAATTCTTTATAAAACTCTGAAACTATAAACTTTTTGGCTTGTTCTCTGTTCAATAAGCCGGGAATTGATTGATCGTCGAATACTAATTGCTGCTTTCTTATCCTTAAAGCCACTCTTTCTTCCAGATCCTTTAACTTGTTCGGTAGATAGAGATATCTTGTATTGTTTTATGACCATACAAACAGTAGTTTTTCTAGATTCAGATGCTTTAACGATTGAAAGTAACGATGCAGAAGAATTTGGTAGATTGTTGTTCAGATTTTTTTTTTGCTTTTTTAAATTGTTTTAATGACAATTTAATTAATAGAAACATTTTGACTTGTTTTTTGATGTTTTTAATTAATACAATAATTAATTAATGTAATTACGCAAAAAAAATACATTAATAACGTGTTAGCGACAAGTTTTAAAACGAAATTCATCGTACGAAGTTTAACGATCGCATGCTTTAATATAGTTTTAAAGATATGAATAACTTTTGATCATTAAATACATACTATCAGTATAAAAATAAAATACAAAGCAATATATGTAATACTGCAATGTTTCCATATATAATTTACTTTTTCTTTTGTAAAGCATATTAAGAAATACTATTATGATAAAATAAATAAAATGATAAAATTTTGTTGAGTACAAAATCGTTAAAATAATCGTTTTTATTACGTTTAGGCAATACCGTAACTGTTAGAAAAAAAAAAAATATATATATATATATATATATATATATATGTATATATATATATATATATATATATATATATATATATATATATATATATATATATATATATATATATATATATATATATATATATATATATATATATATATATATATATATATATATATATATATATATATCTTAAAACATCTTAAACACAACACGAAAGTAAATGAAAAAGCTTTAAACAATGAAGAATTTAAAGATAAACTTGCGGAAATTGAAGACAGAAGGCTTTGAAGAGAAGGAAAATGAAACGTGGGAGGAAAGCGAACTTAAAGTTAAAGTTTTCTTAAAAGAAAAGCTTGGCATGACGAACGAAGTATATATCAAGAGGGCTCACAGAACAGGAAAAAAGAATGAAGTTGGAATGAAAAAACAAAGAACTATTATTGCAAAATTCTTATACTATAAAGACAAAGAAAACGTTTTAAAAGAATACCGATTACTCAAATTATGGAACGAAAAAATATTCTTGAATGAAGATTTTAGCGAAAGAACAAGAGATAAACGGAAACTTCTTTTTGCAAAAGTTAAAGATATTCGAGCCACCGGTAAGTATGCTAAAGTAGTGTACAATAGATTAGTTACACGCAAATTTTAAAAGAATTAATTTTTTTTTTTTTTTGGATTTCAAATAACTAAAATGGATTCAAACGAACTGTTGATTTTCAATCAATTTTAATTAACTTATTTCAAACTAATGATTTTTTACTGGACAGCAATAATGTCCCTGACCTAAATTATTTTAGTGGAGCTGGTGCTTTAAAAAACAAGTGCAGTTATTTGTATGTCCAAGAATTAGAAAAATTTCTTGAACCGGATAAGTTGAATGTGATTCATATAAATATAAGAGGTTTGAAAAAAAACTTTGAAAATTTTCGTAATTTAATTGATGAAACTTGAAACTAATAAACGTGGTGGCGGCGTGATTATTTACGTAAAGGAACGCTTGAAATTGTTAACCAGGCTTGACATGA